CGCTAGGTCTGATGTGGTTTGTTTTCCTCTGTCTCGCTGGCCTGAATTGTACCCTGTGAATATCAAATTTTCTAAGCCCTCTTTCCTCATTACGTAACCCAGAAATTTCAACTGATGTTAAGTAGAAGTGGCCTTTTTGTTTCCGTTTTCTGTAAAACGTTGTCGTTTCACACATGGTCCAAATTTGATTAAATTTCATTAATTTTTATTAAATTAGTTTTTACTTCAAAATAAAGCATATGTACTTTCTATTTTTATAATACAATTCCGAAACTTATCTAATAATAAAAAACATTTTTAAAAAGGGCTTTGCTTTTCATGGAATGATTTAGTGGGGTCGTTAAAAAAATTAAAGATAAGTTGTCCATGGGTAAAAAAAAAAGAAAAATGGTTGAGAAGTACTGCTCTAGGTGGACTGCCTCTTTGGGCTATCGAGCTGCATCTACCGGAAATCATGACTGTAATATACACTACAATTTACTCCTGCCTCAAAAACAAATCTAGTGTCGTTGACAAAACTAATCTGGCCGCTCGTCTTGAAATGGACCTCCAATCGGTTGTTAATTGGGGCAAGAATTGGCTGGTTAGCTTTAACGCCTCCAAAACTAAACTACTCTCTATTAATCACCATAGAGATCCTTCCCTGCCCCCCCATTAGAATGTCTGAGGCTCAACTTCTTGAGAGCAACTATTTGCGTCTGCTCGGTCTCAGGTTGACTGCTGACCTGAGATGGAACAAATACATTGAGTCAATTGCTTCGTCCACCGCGAGGAAAGTTGGCTCTCTGTGCCGCGCCAGGAAATTTTTCTCCCCGGAATCGATACAAATCAACCATTCACCCTTGCATGGAGTATTGATGCCATATATTGTCTGGGGCACCTCCTGTTTACCTCGGAGTTCTTGACAAGATCCAGAGACGGATATGTAATCTAATTGGCCCTGATCTGGCGTCTCGTCTACAGTCACTCTCTCACAGACGCGCCGTCGCCTCTCTCTGTCTGTTCTACAAATACTTTCATGGTAATTGCCCCGATGAGCTGCTTTCACTGGTTCCCAGACTCCATGAATTCAAGCGCCCTACGAGGCTGGCATCCCGCTCCCACCCTTACACTGTACAAACTTTTAAATGTAACCGTCTCTTCTACTCCAATAGCTTCATACCTCGCACCTCTCGCCTGTGGAACACCCTTCCCTGTTACTGTTTCCTTGAGAGCTATAATCTCCAACTATTCAAATGTAATGTTAATCGACATCTCCAGTTACCTTGATCTATCCACTATCCCTCTCCTCATTCTTTCTTCTATCACTCCTATCTGCTCTCGCTCCAAATCTTCTGCAACCCCTGCATCCTAGTGGCTTCACGCCTGGCTCAGGGCGTAATGCTTACATATATATATATATATATATATATATATATATATATATATATATATATACTGGATATACAAGAAAAATTAAGCTAGCAGTTTCAGTTCATTCCAGCGATGTGTACCACAAACATCTGAGAGATTTTGGATTTTATAGATTATATTTTTATTTGGAACTCATAGGTAAGTTCCGAAAATCAAAGACTGGTGGAAAAACATTTTTGGACGAAGAAAATTATAGCTACCATTATCATAAGAAAAACGCCGATGAAACAAAAGTAAAATGGCGATGGGTAGAGCGATCTTGTAACACTGTTAATCTGCCATTGCATTTTAAACAAAAATAAAATTTTAATTATTTTTTTTTATTTTAATCCTTTTTTTTTAAATTTATGAATACGACCAATGTTTTTTTTTTTTTATTTTCAAAATTATGGTAATTGCCTTCCAAAGCTTCAAAAAATTATCAGAGGCACGCAGTTATGAAAAGTAAAATGGCGATGGATAGAGCGATCTTGTAACACTGTTAATCTGCCATTGCATTTTAAACAAAAATAAAATTTTAATTATTTTTTTTTATTTTAATCCTTTTTTTTTAAATTTATGAATACGACCAATGTTTTTTTTTATTTTCAAAATTATTATTTTTTTATTTTATCCTTTTTTAAATTTATGAATACGACCAATGTTTTTTTTTTTTATTTTCAAAATTATGGTAATTGCCTTCCAAAGCTTCAAAAAATTATCAGAGGCACGCAGTTATGAAGAAAAGCTTTTGTCTAGGGACGCAAATGTCCAATGACGCAAATGTCTGGTACGCAATTGTCCGGGATGCAAATGTCTTGGATGCAACTGTCCTAGAACCAATTTGAAGATGTCGACATCATCGAAGTGCAGAAGGTTAAATTACCTGCGAAGTGTTTTAACTCAGGATGTAAAAAACGACATCGAAATGCGAGCGCACATCGGTTTAACGATAGAGGCAAAGTATTAAAAACAAAAAGGAATGTTTCAATTGCTGTGAGATGTCAATCCCCTTTGTATTGAATGCTGAACAATCTCGCCAGAAATGAAGGGTAAAATCGAGCCATCTGAAAACAGGTTCTGGAGAAGTATATTTCTCGGACATGTGAGGAAGGAGGGCTTGGTAAACGTAATCCTCACAGGGTATATTGAGCCCAAAAGACATAAGGGAGGGCGGTTTGCCACCTACCTGGCATGCTTGGGTGAATGGATGGCGCATCGAGAAAGGAAAGTTTGGCAAAGGAAGAAACGCTGCTAAGGGTCACGAGGAATAGGACGTTGTGGAGAGCAATTATTGCCCACGTCCTAAATGGGCACGGCATGTAGAAGGAGAAAAAAGAAAATGAATTTTGTCAGGAAACTAGATCATCGGTGAAACATGTTAAGGTATAATCTTCACAAAAAGCCTATATATATATATATATATATATATATATATAGAGAGAGAGAGAGAGAGAGCAATTCATCTTGATGTAATGTTAGCAAGATTGCCTTTCTAGATCAATGGTAGCATACAGTTACATCACGTTGACTCAGTAGACAGATAAGAATAGATTTTACGCATTTGTGCACACACACACATATATGTGTGTGTGTGTGTGTGTCTGTGTGTGTCTGTGTGTGTGCACAGTAGTGTAAAATCTGTTCTGACCTATCTATATATCTATTTATCTATCTATCTATTGAGTCAACGTGATGTGATTGTATGCCGTCATTGGTCATTGATAAATATATATATATATATATATATATATATATATATATATATATATATATATATATATATGTATGTGTGTGTGTGTGTGTATGTATAAATAAAGATTCAAAAATATTCAGGACAAAAATAAAGAACGTTTGTAAATTCAGCGATTATAGTAAATAACTTAATTTTATAAAGTTGTTGATATTATACAATCAAATATATTTTAACTTTGAAATATGTATTTCTGGCTAAATACATACATGCACAGATAGATAGATAGATAGATAGATATACTTGATGAGGTTTCTTAATAAATTCAATAATAGACAGATCTGAAGAGATTACAATAGATAGATGGATAGATAAATATGAACAGACCATGAGTTATAGATATACATATATAAAGATTCAAAAGTTATCAGAATAAAATAAAAGAGAACGTTTGTTAATTCACCGATTACATTAAATAACATAATTTTAAGAAGTTGAAGAAGTTGTGGATATTATCCAATGAAACATATTTTAACTTTGAAATAAGTATTTCTGGCTAAATACACATTATACAGACATACATGCATGCATGTATATATATATATATATATATATATATATATATATATATATATATATATATATATATATAACTCATTGTTTGTTTATATCTATCAATCTATCGAAGTCTGCTCATATCTATATATTTTTGGGATTTTTATGAAATCTCTTCTAGTCCAGACCTCGATATATAGAGAGATATAAACACAAAATGTGTTATATATATATATATATATATAAACATAAATATAAACAGATTCGGATAGATAGATAGATAGATAGATAGATAGATAGATAGGCAGACAGACAGATAGATAGATAGATAGATAGATAGATAGATAGATAGATAGATAAAAAACTGATAATTATAAACACTGTGATAGGTTGATAGATAGATAGTGTATAATATTGATTGATAATGAATAAGTTTATATATATATATATATATATATATATATATATATATATATATATATATATATGTGTGTGTGTGTGTGTGTGTGTGTGTGGGTGTTTGTTTGTAATGTTGACAGTTCCTTTTACAACTGATTACAAAAAATACATTTTCGCCGAGATAATTAGATGAAGAGACCAGAACATAAACTTACCTGGGAAATAGATAAACAATTGTATATAGATAGACAGAGGTAAATGTCTAGAGTTTTTGAAGCACATAATAAATGACACATTAACGAAGGTAGTACAATGCAATTTCTTTGCCTCAGGTAATCACTTCTGTCATTAACAATCGTCTCCAATTAAGCATTAATTACAAATGGCTGCCCCAAGCGCACACAGGGCTTTAATTGCACTTCTCCACTCTTTGCAACTTCCTTTCGTTCATAAAGAAGCAGTATGGATTCTATAGCGATCTTATTATATAACGAAGTTCTTCGGAAATTAAACTGATGCAAGATTTAAAGCTACTTGGTACTCTATAAGAGACATTTTCGACATGCCTCTGGAGTGTACTCGGCTGAAAAGTTTATTGGTTAAGTGCTGGTTCAGACGCCATTTTAAGGGAAAAGAAATTTGATTTTGGTCACTTGATTATACATAGGGAAGTGGGTCTATTCAAAAGGTTTGTAGGATCTCCCTGGAACAGGTTGAGAAAAGTATACATTACGCCGTTTATAAGACTTAGGAAGAAATTCAGAATCGATGAAAAATTTTGGTTAATACAGGGTGGGGCAGAGCAACTTGCTTATTTGGAATATCAATTAAAACACAAGTAATGCAGGTATACATGTAATTCTTTGAACTGCAACTAGTTCAACATTTAAATTTTATTTTTTACCGGTTTTAAAGATGATATCAGTAAGATGGCGTCCATCCTTCTCTATACACTGAGTCAATGTTTTGGGGTGACCTTGCTGTTCGTAGGAGGCCAGGTTTCTTTTTCTTTACATCACCCGTTTCCCTGAAGTTGTTTACCCATGAAACAATCGACTGCCGGCCAGGAACACGACCACGGGGGGCAATATTGAAATGTCTACGGAATGCACGTTGCGTTGCGACGATTGAGCGACCGCTTGAGAAAAAAAAATGCCTCAACAGCGAAAGCGCGTTCCAACTTCGTCCACTCCATGATGCTCACTGGGGTTCCTGAAAAATAAACAAAAAAATAAATAACGCACGTTAAGAACCAAACTTTAAGCCCCACCCTCTCAAATAAGTCCATCCCTACCATCCTTGGAGCAACCATCGCTTTAGGGCGCCAAATTTAAATAAGCAAGTTGCTCTGCCCCACCCTGTATTTAGTGTTAAGGGCTTCTTTTTTCTTTTTTTTTTTTTTTTTTTTTTTTTTGGAGATTTGGAAAGTAGTTATTTCATATGACTTAAGATTACACCCGACAATGAAGTTCTGACTAAGGGACAGAAATTGGGAACACCGGGCCATTGTTACCTAAAGGTGATCGTTGGCTAAGATCTACCCACTCAGCAAGGTTGTTTTGTTTTTTTTGTTTTTCATACTGTCTTCTTGAAACATGTCTTATGAAACAACAAATATCGTTAGAAACAAAAAAGATTACCTCAGAGATGAAAAAGAGACTTGAATTAACAGAACCAACAAAGGAAAATATACTGAACAAGTATACGAAAATTCAAAAAACTTGACAATGAAGTAAGGTTATAATAATTATTAAATGCTTTAAAGATGTGTTTATACTAAAATAAAATTTAAACCCAACTTTAAAGCATTTAATAGTTATTATAACCTTACTTCGTTGTCAAGTTTTTTGAATTCTCGTATACTTGTACTTTGATTGGTCATTTCAGCTCATGTGACAGCGTTTCCCCTTACGACAGGTGGTTCATTAATTTGTACCTTTTAAAACCTTCATTCTCCAATCTACATTCAACATCATCATTTGATAAGACACCAGAGGTGTTGAAACAAAATAGCTATTTTTGTAGTGATTTTATAACATATTTATGTTATAATATATATATATATATATATATATATATATATATATATTAAAGACATTTTATGTTTAACGTTGTTTTTATAGATACAAGTATTTAAGTAAATGCTCTGTTTATAATAAACAGAATTAAATAACATTTACCAGCCTGAATGTCCGAGAAATTTTCATTTTACGCTGACCGCTCGGCCACAAAGGATCATACGGTTGGCAAGGTTGAATTTACTGTTTATAAACTTCAACGATCCTTTGTGGCCGAGCGGTCAAGGCACGTCAGCGTAAAATGACGGTTCCGTATAGGATGCAGGTTCGAATCCTGTCAAAGGACGAATATTTTCTAGGAAAATTTCTCGGCCATTCAGGCCGGTAAATGTTATTTAATACTGTTTATTGTAAACAGAGCATTTACTTGTATCTATAAAAAAGAACGTTAAACATAAAAATACCTTTAATAAATAAATTTTAGGACTTTGTCCATTTATTTTTTTATTTTTATAATTGTAATATCAATCTTCCTATATGTCAGCGAATGCTGGGCAATGATGAAGACGAAACTTGAAGTAAGAGAAGCAACGAAAATTGTACTGAACAATTATATAATATTAATTATCCTATATGTCAGTGAGAAGAGACGTGAAGCAACAGAAATGTTGTTCTACAGAAGGATGCTGAGAATACCATGTTCCGAACACGAGAACAACATTGAAATTCTCGAAAGAATAGGAACGAAAAGGACACGTATGAGTAATATCAGAACAGTTTTCGGGACGCATAATGAGGAAGGACTGCTTGGAAAGTTTTATACACACAGGACAGATTGAAGGCAAGAGAGACAGAGAAAATCATCGTATAATCTACCTTGCGAACTTGAGCGAATACAGAGGAAGGGATACAAATTTTTTGAGAGCCATGATCTCCAGCGTCCTGAAGGGAAACAGCGCAGAATAGAAGACGCAGTTTTTTTTTTTTTGTTTTTTTTTTTTTTTGTCAGCCCAAAAGCGATATTCACCCTTGGGTAAATTAATTAAAACAACCGCTTTAGTTTTCTTTCTTTCACCATACGGTCAGTTGTAGACCCACTGGAGTGAGAGGGAGGAATTGATTTCTGTTTTTTTTTTTTTTTTTTTTTTTTTTTTTTTCCTCAGATTAGGTCATTTGCAGTGGTGTGCGGTAATATGAATCTATTTTCGGGGTGTATGATCAGATTTGTTTAGCCTTAAAATTGTCTCATCCGTGATTGCATTAGATTTTCATCACACCCAGACACTATTGTCTCGACTGTCGATTAGTTGTCCTACGGCCATTGTATGCGATGTACGTTACTCCAAGGAAGCGTACGAAAACTGTAACGCTGCACGGACACACTGTCAAGCCTTACCAGTGAGAAAATGTAAGTACTATCGATTGGCTCGGAAATTCTCTTGATTTAAATCGAATCGAGAATCTGTGGTCAATCCGCAAGGAATATACTTCGTGGAATGGACATACGGAATGAATGGAACGGGTCTTGTTTCATTGAAAAAATACCCAAAAAAGTAAATAATAACTGAATTATTCGTTTTGTTTCAATTAATTTACACAAGTGTGTAGGTACAATGACTGAATGGAGCAAGAGTAGGCTTAAGAAAGGTTTATTCTCCTTGGAATACTTTATGCCGGCGTAGTGACTATCTATAGCCCTCTATAAACGAAAGAGTTCTCCAAAGGGGAGTAATTATAAAACAAGGGAGATAACTCCCGATTAGTTTATAACTTTATCATATGAATTTTAGCATGAATGCGGTAAAAGATAACAAAAGAGACTAAATTATCATTGGATAGTGTTGGTGTTTTTTTTTTTTTTTTTTTTTTCATATATCAATGAGATTAAACGAAAGATCGCTACTTACCACATCAGATCGAGAGTGACGCCATATCTGCTGAGGAAATCATCAATCGTTTGCTTCCTTGTTTTTATTGAAGATCAAAAATGATGGATAGCTGGGTGTTGCTCGTGATTGTAATATAAAAAAGCTGAGATGTCGCAACGGATGTCTTTTTACAAGGAGTGTCGTAATTCTTCCACTATTTATCAACACTTGGAGAAGAGTGAGATATAAGAAAAGAAATAGAAAAGCTACAGTATTTGACAATGTTCAAAAATATTTCGACATAATACACCTAATATATCGGCCAAGAACCTAAAATAGAAAGCAAAAGACAATACAATATAGCAAATGAAGAAAAGATAGCAAGATAAACCTTTTTTATGGTCAAACAAGTTGATGTAGACAAACCCCGTACACATCAGCGGTTACGAAGAGCAGTATTAAAAGCTGAAATCGAAGGTTTTATTCTTGCTTCACAGGATCAATGCTAGCTAAATATAAATTATCAAGGATACAAACTGAAAAACTAAATTGACTCCAAATGCAGATTCTGTGATGAATATTCACAAACAACTGACAATCTTGTATCAGGTTGTACAATGTTAGCGCCAATTGAATATAAAACTTGGCATGATTGAGTGGGCCAATATCTGCACTGGAATATATGCAACTTTTATTTGAAATGCCACATCAAATCTACTTTTGGAAAATCACTATGAGCATTTTGAGGCGGGGTAATAGTTAGCAAGCTTGTCTCGCTAGAACAATCACGACTGAATAGTGAGTTCGATCCTCACTAGGTGCCCACTACTTTTGGCCTTGTGCCACATCTTAGCTACGCTTGGAAAATCTATATAGACACCTCGAGGCGGTCTAATAGTTAGCAAGATAGTCTAGCTAGAACAATTACGACTAAATAGTGAGTTCGATACTCACTGGGTGCCCCATACTTTCGGCCTTGTGCCACATCTAAACTACGCTTGAAAAATCACTATATGTACACTTATGGGCACCTCGAGGCGGTGTAACGGTTAACAAGCTTGTCTCACAAGAACAATTACGACTGAGTAGTGAGTTCGATTATCACTGGGTGCCCCATACTTTCGGCCTTGTGCCATAGCTTAGATACGCTTGGAAAATTACTATGGCCACTTCGAGGCGGTGTAATAGTTAGCACGCTTGTTTCGCTAAAACCGTTACGACTGAATAGTGAGTTCGATCCTCACTGGGTGCCTCCTACTTACGGTCTTGTGCCACATCTAAGCAACGCTTGGAAAATCACTACGTAGTGCAGGGTTAAAAGCTGAAACTGAAGGTTTTATTCTTGCTGCACAGGACCAATGCTTGCTAAATATAATTTACCAAGGACACATTCTTAAAAAACTGTTTTGAGTCCAAATGCAGATTCTATGATAAATATCCAGCAACAACTGATCAACTTGTATCAGGTTACAAAATGTTAGCGCCAATTGAATATAAAACTCCGCATGGTAGCGTGGGAATCTGTATTGGAATATCTGCAACTTTTACGGGAAGTGCCACATCTAAGCTACGCTTGGAATATCACTATTGGCACCTCGAGGTGGTGTAATGTTTAGCCAGCTTGTCTCGCTAGATCAATTACGACTGAATAGTGAGTCCAATCCTCACTGGGTGCCCCATACTTTCCGCCATAGGCCACATCTAAGCTACGCTTGGAATATCACTATTGGCACCTCGAGTTGGTGTAATGTTTAGCCAGCTTGTCTCGCTAGATCAATTACGACTGAATAGTGAGTCCGATCCTCACTGGGTGCCCCATACTTTCCGCCTTGGGCCACATCTAAGCTATGTTTAGAAAATCACTACATTGTGCACGGTTAAAAGATGTAACTGAAGGTTTTATTTTTGCTGGACAGGACCAATGCTTGCTAAATATAAATTAGGAAGAACATATGCTTAGAAAGTTTTTGACTCAAATCCAGATTCTGTGATAAAAAAATCCAGCAACAATTGATCAACTTGTATCATGTTGCACGGTGTTAGCGCCAATTGAATATAAAACTCGACTTGATAGGTGTGAGCCAATATCTGCACTGGAAAATATGCAAGTTTGACGGGAAACAAGCAGAAAGAATATAGTATCAACATCACCCAGGCCAGGTTTTAGGGATATTCACTTGGGTGAAGAAATTTAAATAAAGCATAATAAACCCAGTGTAGCAACAAAGAACATAAAAAAGAAAGTAAATGCAATGCACCAAATGAAGAAATGATGGCAAGATAAGCC